TGGGGTTCCGGGGAGAGCAGGACTGTGGAATGCAGACTCGTGTGTCAGGGAGACGGCACCCAGGTGCCGGGGAGAGCCCTTGGTCTTGGGGGGACCCAGAGGCCCGAGTGGACAGTGGGAGGGGAGGGGCAGGGGCTGAGGGCTCAAGGTCCCCGGGAAGGAAGCCACGGGTGGTGCGTCGAGGAGGCCCCTCCACACCACCCTGGGGCGCTGACTCGGGGGTGGTTGGGGCGGGCAGCGACCCCCCAGGGGGCGGCTGGCGATGGCTGGGCAGGGCCAGGCCGCCTCCCCACCCTTGACTTTGGTCTTGTTTCTGTGAACAGATGCAGTGGGCAGGACCTCGGGACCCAGGTGGGCAGGGCGCCAAGCCTGGCATAGCCTGGGGCTCGTGGGCACGGCTCCCCGGCGTGAGGACGAGTCCCCAGACCGCCTGCCTCGGGAGGTGGGCCGCGGTGTCGGAGGGGACTGCGAGGAGCCCAGGGCTGGAGGAGGTGCCAGCGCCTGGCAGGAGAGCTGGACAGCGAGGCCCAGCCGCTGCCCGGCCTGCCCCGTGTGGCCGCGGGGACTGTGCTGGGCGGAACGCAGCCAGGCCGGGCAGCCTTGCTCTGGAGGCCGGACGTGCCCAGGTGTGAGTCGGACCTTGAGAACGGCGGCTCCCGACACTCTCGGGGGCGCGGAGCCCTTGGAAGCTGGCCGAGGCCGGGGGCCTTCTCCCGGGAGACGCACATCGGTGCGGACTCCAGCAGCCCCGGACTCCAGGCCGGGGCCTGGGGGCCCTTGTAGCTTCTCTCCCTCCGCTGTCCACCCTCCTCCCCTTGTTCAGGAATAAAGAATTCCCAGGCAGGACCTCGCCGCGGGCCTCTCGTCCCAGACCTGACTGGCGGCCCCAGCTTTCTGCAGCCTCGTGCCTGGACTGCCCGCAGGCCTGGCCCGGGCAGCTGCCCCTGGGGCTCGGGCCCAGCTCGCCCTGGGGCCCTGGGCTCTGGTCTCGCCCGGCAGGTGGGAGTTGGAGCTTGTGCAGCCGGGGAGGGGTCTGGGCTGCGCCTGCTGCGGGTGGTCGAGCCCGGGGAGCCGCCTCGGGATGGGGTGGGCGTCGCCGGAAGCTGGGGAGCAGCAGTCTGGGGTGGGCAGGGAGAGTAGGGCAGCAGGCCGGCTGCGGGGGTGAGGACCCGGGCTCGATTGCCGCGCTGCTCAGCCTGGAGCCAGAAGTGCCCCCAGAAGGGGCTGCCTGTTGAAGGGGGGACCCACCAGAGCTGGGGGGGGTCTTGATGACACCCAGCTCCCCATGCTCCGGGGTGCGGTGGAAAGAGGCCTTCCGGGGAGTCAGATCCCAGCACCCCACTTCCCTGGGGCATGGTTGGGTGCTGCTGCAGGCTGCAGCGGGGCCGGTCAGGGTGGGGGGCCTCTTGGGGGCCCCACCCTGGACTCTCACTGTCTTGTCTGTGACCCAGCTTGAAGCAGAGGCCTTGACCCACTCGTGCCTCCTGGGATGCCAGGCCCCCCGCTGCCCTCTGCCCACCGGAGGGACGAGGGACGCACCGCCTTCTCCGCCCTCCGCCCTGCTCACGGCCCACCCCT